AGGAGATGACTTCACAATCAACATGTTCTTAATAGGTAGGAGAACGATCATATGGGCAATTTGGACAAGGAGATGTACCTTTGAAATGGAGGGAGCGCGATTGGACAGGCCATAATTTACTGAAACTATCAAACAGCAGGTTCAAAATGACTTAACTATCAAATGGGAACAAGTTAAAGAAAAAATTGAGCTTCTATCTGATCCAAATGAGATTTGGGTTCACATTAATCAATTTAACAAAAGTTGGCTGGGAGGTGACCAGGTTGGGAGGCTGGGGAAAGTAATTTGGGAAGGGGGACACGCAAAAACCCAGGAATCCCATAAAAAAAAATTTCAGCTTGTCTTTAATGATTGGACTACCGTTGACTCCTCTATCCCTCTAAAGTCCATGGCTGAATTTCCTGATTTCTTCTCTCCCCCAAGTAATTGTATTGTGCTCATTGCTTGGTTTGGATAGTTAGCTAGTAAAGTGTTTGGATTTCATGTTTATTTGACGCCTATTAAGGGTGAAGAGGTGCTATGCTAGTTGATTTCCTTTTGTTGATCATGGATATCAGATGAATAGTGCTTTGACCAGTGGATAATTGTTTAATAGTGTAGAATTGGCTCATTTTCTGTTCTAAGCAGGTTCCCACTGGTTACCCCTGGGTAGACTGTGAGGACCCCGACCTCAATCATCATATTGATAATATCAGCCTTGGGCACTGAGCCCCTTTTAAAAAAAAAAAAAAAAAAAAAAAAAAAAAAAGGTGAAATGGTTGAAGGCAAAAACGGTGACCGTCATTTTTCGAGAGGGTGCTCGGTTTCTTTCTAAGAAAGTGAAGGAGGACTTGATCAAAGCGTATGAGGATGTCTAGATTCGGGATGATACCTTTGGTCATGACTTCAAGAGAGGTAGAATCAAGGTTGAAAGCCCTAATGCTGTCTCATACATTCCAAGATCTCAAGCGATCACGGACTGGATGTTGGCCAAGCGCTCCGACTTCATTGATCTCTCCAACACGACTTACCGAGCGGAGTTTAAGCCGTGGATGACGCGAGTGGAGGTTCGCGACTGGAGGAGAACAGTGGACGAGAACACCTTTTGGGTGGTGGCCATAGGCATACAGCTGGATAAGATGGCGTTTATATACATGCATATCGAAAGAGCAATCGGCAAAATTATTAAACACCACCAACCGGAGGCGGACGAGACTGATCCAAAATTGGTCAACCTGCGATTTGACCTGGATCCTGCGGCCAAGGCTAATATGAAGGATAAAATCTGGGTTCAAATCCATCAGGGAGACCTACTTGAAGTGCGTATGGCTTCGGCGGAATCGGAGTGGTGTAGAAGATGCCGTACTTTTTTTCACCCGGAGGAAAATTGCAAACGCCCTGATCGGTGAAATCGAGGAGACACGACATCAAGACCTCATCAAGCCTCGTCCGCTCCCGGTACGGGGGTTTCCCCCCGTCCGCAGTATCAGGGACCCCTTAGGGCGCCAGGCGTCTCGGTTGCTCCAGCCACACAGTCAGTATCAACTCGGCAAGTGACATCCTCTTCGGCTCCAACGACCAACATGCAAGCTGCTGTTCAGCCCGTAATCATACCAGGTTCTACGGCCCAGTTCAATGCTGTGTTTTCGCCAGGAGCGGGTCAAATTTTACAAGGAACCATGTCTCAAAATCTGGCTCCAGGCCAAGCCAATCAGTGGGCGGCCTTCTTCCAGAACCTGCCGATGCATCCGTTCACATGGCAACAAGCTCAAGCTCCTTTGGATGCTTCTTTGACCGGCAGTCCATCATTTGTCAACCTCCAAGCTTATACTCCATGGACTCAAGTCCCGGGAGGACCCTGCGACCAAGCAGGTTCCAGCATGACAGGAGGCCAGGGTTTCAATTCCACAGGTTATACACCTTCAGGGGTGGCCGCTCTTGGCCCTAATGGTTCTCGTTTACGGGGGGAATCCCCCAGTAAGAAACGACGGGTGAGCGGTACTAGCGGTGTCAACATTCAGGTTGATGGGGTCCAATCGGAACCCTCTAATGGATCCAGTGAAAGTTCGTATCATTCGATTGCCTCAGGCGATCCACGTGGCAACCCCTGTTCATCAGGTAAGCGAAAATCTAATCGCCCCCGTATAGTTGCTCTGTCAAAAGGCCAATTAGGGTTGGAAACAAAGTTGATTCCCATAGTTTGCGTTAAGACTAGGAATGCCTTTTGGGTGGTTGCCTAGATGGGATCGGATGGCTCCCTATGCTTGTCTAGTACGTCATGTCCGGATCCCCCTATGCCGCATGCTACTGAATCAATGGCCCGCACGCTTTTTCAAAACAAATTTGCCTTGCGTGTTACTGTTGAGGTCTCCATGCCCTGCTTCCTAATTGACGTTGTAGGAAAACGAGCGAAGTTCTTCGCTCCTTTGTTTGATGGTCGTTTTGTAATGGGTCAATTAGAACAGTTGGAATCGGAAGGTCTCCGCCTCATCCCGTTTGCATGGTTCTTGGAGGCGAAGAAGTCTGATCTTCGCCGAATCAAAGTCTCACCGACCCTCTCAACTGAGTTTTTGTATGAGTTGAATACCAAGCTTATGAGGGAGAGGAAGCTGGACTCCCCATTCATCAAACAAACCCTCACTGACCCTTGCCGGGGATTCAAGTCCCGGTTCAACAAACCGTTCAAATCCAATAATCAGGGACTGCCTTGGTAGATGGGCAAACTTAATATTGTCACGTGGAATGTTCGGGGTCTCGGGGATACAGCAGGTAGAAACAAGCGAGGGGGGCTGAACAGTTGGATACATGATCTGAAACTCGATATCGCCTGCATACAAGAGACTAAGTTATCAGAGGACAAGATCGGGGAGCTTGGGAATTGGTGGGACGGACCTCAAATCTGGTCCCCAGCCATAGGATCTAGACGGGGAGTTGCAATTCTACTCCATGGGTCCTCTAACTTTGAGATCATCGATTATTATGCCGACCTTTGGGGTAGATGGGCATGGGTAAAGTTTTGTCTGGAGGATCAGGAATGGGTGGTTGCCACTGTGTATGCGCTGGTCGACTGTTCTGCTCGTAAACGGTTCTTCTATGACTTGCCCTCTTTGATTCCTTGCTGTGGAAATTTGATTATTACCGGGGATTGGAATACATCTCTGGATAATCAAGAGGGCGTGAGAGGCCACTCAGATGTGAGGATTTTATTGGAAACGATCTCGGTTATGGACTTGGTAGAGCTTTTCCGTTTAATGCATCCAGATTCCCCTGGCTGCACCTGGTTTTCGAACGCACGTGAGGAAATCGGGGTCATTCATAGAATATTACATTTTTTTTTAACCTCCCCCGATGCTTGGAATGCCATAGTAAGGGTTGAAGAGTCCTTTCACCCTATGTCGGACCATAAGCCTGTTACGGCCACTTTCAACTCGAAGAAACTAAGTAGAGGCCAAGGCTATTTTAGAGTCAACACTCAGATTTTGGAGGAACCAGGGATTGTGGATTGGATGACACGGTTTTGGAAGGATTGGAATGCGACTACGGACTGATTTGTGACCAAATTGGAGTGGTGGGATGCGGGCTCTCGCATCCTTTCCAAGCACCTCAGTGTTTTCTCTCGTATATTAGCAGTCGGTCGGAAAAAGCAAGAGCTTGCATTAATCTGGAAAATCCAATATGCTGAACACCGTATGAATTCCCACCCCATCTCCAACTTGGTGTGGGGCCCCATTAGGGTCAGCCTAATGGCTGAGTGGGATGCGCTGCAACAGGCTCAATCAAACGTGTGACGGATCCGCCGGGATTGTGGTCCGTCAGGATCAAGACAAAGGGATGAGGATGGGGGAGATGGAGATGGAGATGGAAGGGACAGCGCAGCTCCAACGCAGACTCAACACGCACGTACTCCAAACTGTGCAAATGAAGAATGAGTCACAAAACAGACTGCAGCTGGGGTATACCCCCAACGGACTGACTGGACTGGACTGGACTGGCCTGGTACCGACAGTGGTACTCGGCAGGACTGGACTGGACTAAATAACCACATGGCCTGTGGGATCAGGCCACGGCCTGGTCCCACAGACCGAACAAGGAAAATAGCCAGATAGGCTCTGGCTGTAGGCCAGGGCAGATAGAGGCTCGCTGCACGATCCTCAGACCTGTAGTGGATCGCAAGAGCCATAAACACCCTATCCACAAAAGCAGCAGAACTCTGCAATAAAGAGAGCTGAGAAATCTAGGATGCAGAGCAAGCTCCATGCTGAGTCCATGTGATGCAGCCTAAGCTACATAATGTCAAATGAAAAACAAATGTCTAGTATACATATCCTAACCAAGAGCAGAAAATGACATGTAGCATGATACAATCCTAAGGTCCTGGAGGCAATGGCTTGAGTGCTGAAAGGAAAAGAGCAATATGTCACAAGGTAATGTCATGTCGCTGAACCACTAAGAGTGGGATAGTCTCGGAGGGGGTAAATGCAGCCTAAGAATCGAAACTCCTAAGAGTAGTCACACATGAAGGTGGGATAGGTCATCAGACTCAGGGTGGGAGAGTGGTAGCGAAACAAAACCAATGACCCTAACAGATAGACCATCAGGGCGGGTAATGCTCGACAAAAAGGTGACATCATGCAGGGTCGACCATAAAAAAGGGGAGCCTGGAATAGGGTGGGGATATGTCGAACTGAAGGCATGCAGGGGCCGGCACTAGGGTGATGAGGTCAGTGGGTGAGGGAAACATGCACACACCTCACCGACTGGGGGAGGAGAGAGCTAGATCTGGGAGCAGGGAAGCCAAGATAACGCTACGGTCCTAATGCCTATGTGATACCAAGGGAGAGCCCAACTTAAAGAGACCCAGCTAAGTGAGAACCATCATGCGACGGATGCAAGGGAATGTACAGGGTAGGGTGGTGGCATGAAGTAGTCACGTCCGAAGTAGATGAAGCTAATGAGGTGGCTGAAGTCGTCGAAGTGGTCGATAACGTCGATGGAGTAGCAGTCGAGTCGAGTCGAAGCAGAGACGCAAAACGCTGACATCCTGAAGAAGCTGATGATGGAGTACCTGATGGTGTGAGTCAGTAGGGAAAAGATAGAGGATAAGAGCGTCAGTCATCGTAACGCGAAGGGCGACGATGAGTGCGCTGTGGACACTCGGAGGCGGCCGTCTGCGGCTGAGGAACGGCCTCAGAGGGAGCGGGCTCGTCCTCGGCAATCTCCTCAGTCGGAGGAGGAGGAAGAGGGTCAGTCGGCTGAGCAGGGGCAGACATCTCAGCACGACGAGCACGATCATATGCATGCACCAACATCCTGGCGTGCTGCAAATGCTCGAGGGGCTCCCAAGTAGCCTCCTCATGAGGATAACCCTTCCAAGGCACAAGGTACTCGATGCGTGGAGGGGTATCATCGGTAACTCGGCGTGATACGATGGCGGAAACAACGAACTCCTCGTGACCGTCCACCATGATAGGTGGAGGGCGCTCATAGGAACCTCCGGCGAAACGCTCAGACGGTCTGCGATAAGGACGCAGCAAGGAGACGTAGTAAACATCGTGGACGCGAGTCTGGCGAAGGTAATCAGGTAGCTTCACACGGAAGCTGATCGGACTAGCGACAGTATCAGAACCGACGACCTGAAGGATGCGGCATGGACCAAAGAAACGACGCCTGAACTTGCGAAGCGTATCCGCTTCGAGCTGCAAATGGTGTGCGTCGACGAGCACATTGTGACCGACTTTGAATGGATGATCCATTCGTGATTGGTTTGCTCGTGTGGCTATGCGGGTTTGGGAGTCGGCTAGACTCTCGTGTGCGCGCTTCATAATCGCCGCCATGTGGGCGATCCAGTCATCAAGCGCAGGAGAACGAGTGTCTGGGCGCAACCGCGATGGTCGTAGGAAGTCCGCGGGTACACGAGGGTGGTAGCCGAGGTTGCAATAGAATGGCGACATCCCCGTGGCTGGCAAAACAACGTGGTTGTACGCAATCTCCGCGTGGGCTAAGTGTAAATCCCACTGCTGGTCATCCCTAACAAACTTTCGGAGGATATTACCGAGAGTTTTATTGGTGACCTCAGTCTGACCATCCGTCTGGGGGTGGTAAGACGATGAGAAGCGGAGCTGGGATCCGTACACCTCGTGTAGGCGTCGCCAGAATGTACTGGTGAAGCGAGGGTCACGATCGGAGATGATGCTCTGAGGTAAGTTGTGATCTCTCACGACTCGGTCGAAGACGATGTCGGCGACCTCACGAGCGCTAATGCGATAGCGGCACGGTACAAAGCATGCTCGCTTCGTGGAGCGATCGACGATGACCAAGATAGCATCATGACCACGCTCAGTGGGTGGGCGGAGGGGACCAATAAAATCCATGGAGATGGACTGCCAACGACCGTTGGGTATGGGTAAGGGCTGGAGTAACCCATACGGAAGGTGGTTCGCATTGTTCACCTCCTGGCAGGTAGGACACTCCTGGATGTAGGCTTTGACAAAATCCTTGAACTTCGGTCAGTCATATAGGCGGCAAACACGAGCCAACGTCTTGTGGAAGCCCATATGACCGGCAGTTGCCTGGTCATGGAACTCTACTACCGCCTGGATGCGGAGCTCTCCGGTGGAGGGAACGCAGATAAGTGGTTCTGGCTGACCAGATCTGCCATGCCAGTACACAAGGCCGTTTTCCCCGAGGGAGTAGGAAGGAACGGTCTTGCCACTCCGCAGTGTCGCATGGATGACGCGATAATCGGGGCAGTGGCGGTACTGAGTGCGATTTGCGTCGATCACCGACCGATCAACAGTGGTGATGGAGATGGCAGCAAGATGGATGGGTTCCTGATTGTCATCAGGGCGGCGGAATAAGACATCGGCGACGCGGTTTGTTTCACCCTTGATGGGCTGAGTGGTGAAACTGAAATCGGATAAGTCACGCCACCAACGTGCCTGTCGAGGGGAGAGCTTGGGCTTCGTGAGGAAAGCCTGGACAACTGAGTTGTCCGTGCGCACCGTGAAGGGCGCCCCGTGCAGGTAATGACGCCAATGCTGGGTAGCATAAACTACTGCGAGAACCTTACGTTCGTCGGCAGTGTAGTTTATCTCGACAGGCAGTAGCTGACGGGAGTAAAAGGCGATCAGGCAATCCCCATCACGAGCCTCAACAGTCCCATCCTCCACGATGGTCGGAAAGTAAGTAATGGGAGGACTGTCAGTGGAGGGAAGTGGTGGAACGATAGACATCAGTCGAGAAGTAGTGTCAGCAGGAGGGGGGGGAAAGGGAGGAACATGGGGATAAGGTGAATCAGGAGGAGAGGGAAACACCAGAGAAAGTACTGCTCCTATTGCGAAATCTGACGCATCAGTGGTGACGATGAAGGGGCGATCAAAATCGGGGAGGCGAAGAACAGGTGCATAAGTCACCGTCTTCTTGAGGGCGCGAAAGGCGTCCTCGCAGAGGGGTGTCCAAAACCACGGCGGGTTCTTCCGGAGGAGGGCGGAGGTAAGGACATAGGAATACCTAGCGTATCTCTGGATAAAATTACGATAGTAGGTGGTGAGGCCTAGGAAACTGCGAAGCTGCTTGGCAGATGTGGGGACGGGTCACTCTGGAATAGAAGTGATCTTCGCTTCATCCATGTGGAGACCCTGGTTAGACACATGGTGTCCTAGGAAGTCCACTTTGCGTTAGGCAAAGGGGCACTTATTGAGCTTGGCATAGAAGTCATGCTTGCGTAAGCGCTGTACAACAGAAAAATTTTCCAGAATTAAATAATCATTTTAGAGTAAAATTACATTCTAAATTTCAAATTTTCATTCCATCTTAAAAAATGTCATTCCAATTTTAAAATTTTCCGTCTTACTTGAAAACTTTCCTTCCAAGAATGGGTTATCCCTTCTTATTTGAACTGCATGCTAGAAATGGAATGAAAGTCTGGATGAGTTCATAAAATATTTTAATTGGACTGCCATTCTAAGTAAGGATTTCCGATCATAAATAGGTTAATTCAATCTAAATAAGACGATATTTGTTGTAGTAGAATGAAAGTCTAATTAAAACATTTCATAAACTCGTCTAGACTTTCATTCCATCTTAAACAAATAGATATAGTTGGAAGAGAAAGCTCATATTTAGACGGAAACTTATCAAATTAAATTGAAAATTTTGGAATTGGACAAACATTGGAATGATAATTTATAAATATGAAGGATTTTTTTTTATGGAATGTTTTTTCAACTTTCATTTCTAATGGAAATTTTTCTGTTGTAGGAGATCGCGTAGATGTCTGATATGGTCTTCTAAGGTACGACTGTAGACCAAGATGTCCTTCAAGTATACGAGAATGTATTATTCAAGGATGTCCCTGAAGATGTCGTTCATCGCCGTCTGGAAGGTGGCGGATGCATTGGTGAGGCCGAACGGCATCACCGTGAACTCGTAGTGGCCGAAGCGCGACCGGAAGGCGGTCTTCGGCTGATCCTTTGTGGCAATGCGGATCTGGTGGTAACCGCTACGAAGATCGATCTTAGTGAAGAAGCGGTTGCCTGCCAGACGGTCAAACAGCTCATCCGCGCGGGGCATGAGATAGTTGTTCTTAACCGTGTAACGGTTAAGGCCGCGGTAGTCGATGCAGAGGCGGAGAGTTCTGTCCGCTTTGCGAGCAAAGAGGACTGGTGTACCCCAAAGGGAGTTACAGGGTTTAATGAAACCCAGTCGAAGGAGCTCCTCAAGCTGACGCTTGAGTTCCGTCGCCTCAGGAATCGAGAGTCGATAGGGTGCCTGATGGTGGACACGATAGTCAGGCACGAGCGAGATAGAATGCTCAACACCGCACATCGGGGGAATCCCACTTTATGAGAAATACGGAGGAAATACGTCGCGATACTCTCGAATCAGGTCACGAACGGCGGGCTTTAAGTCAGCCATGAACCGCATGAGTTTCTCAACGTCTGCGTCGCACGAGAGGTATGGGTGCACTCGACAGTGAACGCCGTAGGAACCTGGGATGTCGAGGGGGTATCCGCACGCTGCGGGGTGGATGTAGAGATGGGAGCCACGAAAATGAAGGAAGGGTTAGGAGGATCGGGCTTCAGTAAGATGAGCTCAACCTCGAGACAAAGTCGATCGTAGCGAAGAAGATCCATGACGTTCACTAAGTAGAGCGTGACGTCCTCCTGTCGGATGAAGTGAGCAAACTGACCGGGAGAAGTGAAGGCCATGTCTGGGTGGGACCCAGAAGGACGAGGGTCTTGGGGAGGTAGGTCTGGAGGGGTGTCCCCCGTGGTTCCAATGAAGGGGACTCGATGGGTTTGACCACACTTCATTTTGAGAACGAGTGTCTCAGTCGCCCATTCGGCCTCTGTGCTACGGAACCGGCGAGACCAGGGAGTGCCAAGGATGAAGTCGTACCCAATCTCCAGCATGTCAAAGCATGCGGAGGAATGGAAGCGCCGAGGCGCCTGGGTATTATCTGGTGGCTGGAGGGTGAGGGAGAAGTGGAGGTCGGGGACCGTCTGATCGAAGAAGCGCTGCGTCTTGTCATCTCCGAGGGTAACGGAGATAGGACATCGAGACCCAGAGGTAGCTAGGCGAGCTTCCTCAACCACTCGAGGGTGAACGAAATTTCCCTGCGAGCCAGAGTCCCATAAGGCGCGATACACCCTCGTAGATGTCCCCAGGCGAATAGGGATGATGGGGAGGGTGCGATCAGGGTCAGAGAGCAGAGCGAGAAGACGACGCAAGACGTTTACGTGTCTCGTGAGTCGCTCTTGACGAGCCTGAAGAATGCTCAAATCCAAGAGAGATGACACAACGTCGTCGCGAGTCGCCAACTGAGCACTACAACGGGTTGTGCGAATGGCGCGACGCGTCGGAAGTCTCGGAGGGGAAGCACTAGGTGCGGCGGTCTACTGTGGGGCAAACTGTACCTCGACAGACGATGGAGCAGAGGGAACTGCGTCTGTCGTATCCTCAGGATCCTCTGGTGGGGTAGCCAAAAGGGTGAACCGTGACTCGGTGGTCGGGAAGCCGGCTACGTGTAAGGCCTCAACGGTACACTGCACCGTGGCTAGCTGGGTGGGGCTGGCCGGGCGGGGCAGGGGGGCGACTGAGATCGGCGCTGACGATAAATGTCATCGTAGTACCAATCGAGGGCGGTGTGGTATGGACACCGTGAGGAGGTGTGTCCATCCTGGCGGCAACGAAGGCAGCCGCGACGGGCCTCGAGGGCGGCACGATCCTCAGGGGATAGAGCTCCGCGAGGAGGGACAAAACCCTGCGGGAGGTCTATCTGAGGAACTGTGGGTATGCGGGCACCTGCTTGTGCGACCCAACTGCGCGCACGACCCATGGCTGACATGGCCATCTGCAAGCGCTCGACCATCGGAACAGTGTCGTCATCCAAGTGGTAGTGGATGACGTCCCGAAGCTCGATGTCCTCGGGGGCATCCCCAATGGTAGGGTGAAGCTCGGCGGAGGCGTCCTCTCCATACTCGAGAGAACTGTAGTGCCGAGAGAATGACGCTCCAGGTCGAGCCGGTCGACGAAAACGACCAGCAAACGAGGAGCGGCCTCTTGTGGTACCGCGAGACTGGGAGGTGGCGACTGGCCGCGAAGAGGATGGGGCGGCGGAGAAGCGACTGCACATCCTCTGGTACTGACGCGCAGCCTCGTATGCCTGCTCTACGTAAGAGAATGATCACCTCCATAGCTCTAAGCGGTAGTCAGTCGGCAGGCTGACGAGGAACCGGTCGGTGAGTGTGACCTCCGGTAGGAACGTCTCGTCACAAACAAGGCGAACGTCCCGAAACACCCGGATGTGACGCTCCAGGTCGGCCGGTACAGAGGACCCAGACCATCTGGTATGGGTGATGCGGTCTAAGGCATCGGTGGCGTCATGACGAGCCCCAAAGCGATCCTGAAGAAAGGCCGTGAAGTCGGCCAGAGTGGGGACCTCACCCACGCGGAGGCGCTGGGTATAATGGTCCTCCCACGCAGTGGACGGGCTGCCTCACAATTTGGTTGCGAGCACATCACGCCACAACTCCTGACGGGTGGTCATCAGCGAGAGTGTGCGCGTTGCTATCTGCAACCAGCGAGAAACACGGGATGTGCCATCATACTCAGGAATATCCGAGGTGAGCACAGGAGGATGCCCACTGTGCTGATGGCAGGGGAAGAGACATCGAGGCGAGTGCAATGCGGCGGCGTAAGTCGGGGTCGCTGCAGGGGCCGAGGGAGGGGAAGGCTGTGGGTCGTGGTCGTTGGCGGAAGGGCCAACAGACGAGGAGGCAACGGCCGCGGGTTGCTGTCCCGAGATAGCCAGGTAGGAGGGAAGAGGCTGAGGGGCAGGTCGAGGAAAATGAGCCTGCATCATGGGGACCGAAGGGGTGGTAGAGGGAGAAGGGTTGGCAACCTGTATTGGGTGAGGATGACTCAGAGTGAGGATCTCTGCCTGAGCCTGCGCAATGGTGGCCTGTTAAGTGGCCACTCGCTGGGTGCGAGGGGTCGGAGGTGGAGGAGGCGGAGCGGGTCTCCCAGA